CCGAACACTCAGATTCTTGACTTCGAGAAGGGTCCTCCTGGGATTTAGTGGTAGATTAAGTGGTAACTCTTAATTATATCATTAGAAACCCCTATTTTTAATTGGTTTCTAAATACACTGCTATCACTCCTCTCCCATAGCGAAATTTTCGCGGTTTTTGATGTCATCTCCCGCATTCCGACCTCATGCGGTCTGTCGACGCTCACGGCGGAACCCTCAGTATTCACCGTCTACTAGTAGTTCGGTCGTACCTCCCTTCCTCACTGCTCGGCTGAGCTCGAAGCGTGCTGTGGCCGATCGCATCTCGGTTCCTCTCGTCTGGCCTCTTTGACGCGGCGTACCAATCCGGCCCAGACGATCTCAATTGTGAATCCCGTATACAATGCCATTTGCAAGCCAGTCCTGTCTGACCCACATTCGTACCCATCAAGGCTGACATTTATTGCTACCGTGATGATGACCGACATCCTTCCGTTATATACCGCCACCTACAGGCCAGTCCTGCTCGCTTTTTTCTGTTATTATTTTTATGGAGGGGTTTTTTATCCTGTAAAATTAATCCAATTATTTTTAACTTTTTGTAAGGAGTTTTTTTTCACCCCTCAATCATCATGTTCCTCAATGGACTTCTAATTCAGAAACTAGGAATTGCATTTTGTAAAGATTCGGCCTACCTCGTCTAAAACTGGCATGCAAATTTATTTTAACTTGCTTTGATGGGACCCCGACGGGTCTTTAATAAAAATTATCTATCTATCTATCTCTGTGCTAGTTTCCGCGTATTCAACCTTAGTGCGAAAGATTTTATATTATTAGTGTCCCGCAGTTCCGAAGCAAAATTATCATCATATCCTTTCCGATGCGATGCGCGGAATAATTTAGATAGTCCCTCATTTGCATGAGTACCCGTATAAAGTTGGAGTACTGTCATTGGGAATGGCAGATAAGTCAGGCGGGGCCATAATAACCTCACTTTTTGTTGACAAAGTACGGTAACCGCAATTAAATTCTTTACATTACGGAGGTCCGGTTCAGACTACTTGAAGAACTGATATTAATAATGATAAGCCAGGAAAGATGCGTCATATTTGTACTCCAATAAAGGATTTTGATGCTTGGGAGAGAAAATAGTTCTCTGTGGGATTGAGGGTACATTTTGAGCGTGTACATAGGGGTTAGCGTATTTCAGTTTGCCAGATTCTTGAACTTCTAGATGGTCCTCGAATGAAATCATTAATTTATTCAGTTATCCTCGAAATTCCATTCAAATTGTCCACCTTCCTAGGAGCTCAGATGACTTCTACCATTATTTTAGTTTGCTGAATTAAAGGAGGTAGGGACGAAAAGATGTCGGTCGATGGGTTTTCTTCCTCTTTTGGTTTTGGGCAACTGGGTGTCCAGTGTCTGAACTCCGTAAATAGTCTGCCAATTTTGGAGATAGTCAACACTTAAAATCAACAAATAGGCCAATGTAATCCAATTTATTGGCTGTCCTTGCTTTTGGAACTATTCCATTACAAACACGCGGCTTTCTTCTTAGGAATTAGTATACTTAGTATAGTTACTGTAGTATACTGTTTACAATCAGTCTACCGTAGTGTAGTACCCTATAGTATACTACGAGCCCCCAATTCGTTTTACCTTGGACCTATCTTATAGTCCTTAATGGCACTACAGTCTTCAAGTTTTTTTTGTCTGTGACAGAATATTTTCCCTGCGCCCTAGATGCTGGTAGCATGCTCTGAATTGTCGCTCAAAGGGTAGTAGTGGTTTGATCCAACCTGTGCTGGTCTAGCACATGAAGGATCATCGGGTTATGTTGTGCAAACCAAGCAAATTTGCTTGGTTAACCTGTTCGCATATTATGTGTTTGTGTAGGAGCGCTAGACGTCCTTTAAACCTATTCATTATACCCTAGGGGATAGCGGCTAGGAAACTTCTCGGCCACTTTATACATGGAAGTAA